ATTCTTTTTGATGTTAAACTGAAGGTTTATGTCTTTCACCAAATTTCAGAAGTTTTCATCCATTATTTGTCAAGTATTGTTTCAGCTCCATAGTCTTTCCTTCTGGGTCTGAGGACACAAACGTTTGGCCTTTTGTTACTGTCCTGCGGGTCCCTGAGGCTGTGTTTTCTCTTTTTTTTCAATTTGTTTTCTCTGTTGTTCAAATTGGATAGTTCCTTTTCCTCTGTTCTTCAAGTTCATCAGTTCTTTCTTTTGTCATTTCCATTTTTCTGTTAAGCCCATTCAGTGAGATTTTTGTTGCTGTTTCTAAAATTTCCATTTTAGTTTTCTTTTTCCTTTTTTTTTTTTTTAATCGTGGTGGTTGTTTTTGAGACAGGGCCTTGCTCTGTTGTCCAGGCTGGAGTGTGGTGGTGTGGTCACAGCTCACTGCAGCCTTGACCCCCTGGGCTCAAGGGACCTTCCCACCTTAGCTTGCCGAGTAACTGGGACTACAGGCTACAGGTGTGCACCACCACACCGCGCTAATTTCTTTTTATATTTGTAGGGATGGAGTGTCACTATGTTGCCCAGGCTGGTCTTGATCTCCTGACCTCAACTGATCCTCCTGCCTCAGCCTCCCAAAGTGTTTGGATTACAGGCGTGAGCCATCACAGTTGGCCTTAGTTTTCTTTATATCTTACTTTACTGGAACTTTCATTTTGCCATATGTTTTTAGAGTGTATTAAATTGCTTGCCAGAGTTTTTTGTTTGTGTATTTGTTCATTTTTTTTAGAGACAGGGTCTTGCTCTGTCACCCAGGCTGGAGTGCAGTGGGCATGATCATGGCTCACTGCAGCCTGGACCTCCTGGGCTCAAGCGACTCTCCGGCCTCAGACTCCTGAAGGGCTGGGGTTATGGGTACGTACCACCATCCTAGCCTAGCTAATTTTTGTGTTTTTTGTTTTTTGTGTTTTTTTTTTGTAGAGATGGGGTTTCACTATGTTGCCCAGGCTGATCTTAAACTCTTGGCTTCAAGCAATTCTCTCAGCTCCGCCCTCCCCAGTAACTTGCCCGAGTATTGTTATGACGGCTGCTTTAACATCTTCACCCCATAATTCCAATGTCTGTGTCATCTTGGTGTTGTCTCTTTCATTCGCATTGAGATTTTCTTGGTTGTTAATATTATGAGTATTTTTTTTTTAATTAGAGATGGGGTCTCACTATATTGCCCAGGCTGTTCTGAAGCTCCTTGGCTCAAGTGATCCTCCTGCCTCAGGCTCCCAAAGTGCTGGGATTACAGGCAGCCTCCTGTAATTTTTTACTGTATCATGGACATTTTGAGTGTCACATTATGAAATTCTGGTTCTTATTAAACCTGTGTTAATTCTGTCATTTATTGTATCAGATAAGTCAGCCTTTCTGGGTTCACACTGCCTATCCTGGCCCATTCTGGTGGGCTGAGGTTTGAATGTCCGTTACTTTCCAGAGCCTTGATGATGCTGTTTTACTCTGCCCACACGTGAGCTACCAAGTGGCCAATTAAATCCTGGGCAGTGTCCCCCGCCAGGCCCAGTTGTCAGAGGTTTTGCTGTGCTGGTTCTGTTGATTCTGGCTGGTTTTACACGGCGGATCCTCAGGAGTCTTCATGTAGACCTTCTTCCTCCTGTGACCCTCCCCACATGCTCTCCCAGAAGCTGAGATGGCCTTTGTCTATACTAGGCTGCAGGACCGTGGGCTGGCAGGAGGGCAGGTGTGGTCCCAAGGGCTCCACCTGCATGTCCCCGTCTTCCTGCTCCATTGGTCCCAGGAGCAGCTTCTCTTCGGCCTTTTTTTTTTGGTCTGAACTCTGGGTTGTGGCTGCCTAGCACCAGGCCAGTGTGTGCAGGAAGGAGACGAGGGACTCCCTGCCAGCCATCCCTGGGATCCGAGGCCCCTAGACGCTCAGGTTTTGTTTCTCACCGTTCAGAATCTTCCTCTAGTGGGGCTTTTTGTGTTCTGGCCGGGCCTTTAGCTGAGATTAGTGGGGGAAAACGGGGGTGGACTGCAGGGTCTCCATCGTGTTAAACCACCCTTGCAGTTCCAGGAAGAATTCAACATGTAGTGATAGATTCTTCTTTTTATAATTTGACAGATTTGGTTTGCTGATACTTCTTTTGTTTTTTGTTTATATGAGACATGGTCTCGCTCTTTGACCAGGCTATTCTTGAACTCTTGGGCTCAGGCCGTCTTCTTGCCTTGGCCTCCGTGTAGCTGGGATTACAGGTGCGAGCCACCAGGCCCAGCTTGGTTTGCCCGTGCCCGTGTTTTATTGAGAATTAGTACATTTATGTTCATGAGTAAGACTGGCCTATAATTTTCAATTCTCGTAATGTTCATGTGAGGTTTTGGAATCAAAGTTACTCTGGCCTCATAAATATGTTGGAAAGTATTCTCTATTTTTCTGTTTTCTAAAAAAGTTTATATCAGACTTATCTTAATTTTTCTTAAATAATTGGTATAATTCAACTTTGAAACCAGCTGGGCCTGGAGTTTTCCTTGTGGGAAGGTTTAAAATTGTGAATTCAGTTTTTTTCATAGTTATAGGACATTCAGATTTTCTTTTTTATACATTTTTGATGTTATATTTACTAATAAATTGTCCATTTCATCTAAATTTTCAAATTTTTGACATAAAGTTGCTTATAGTATCCTATGAGTTTTTAAATGTCTGTGGGGTCTGAAGTGATAACTCCTTTTTGCCATTAATTGTATTGGTCATTTGCTTTTATTTTTTCCTTGCTTAGTATTACTGGGTGTTTATTTTAGCCTTCTCAAAGAATCAACTGTTGGTTTTGTTGATTATCTATTATACATTTATTTTCTGTTTCCTCAATATCTAATACTGATGTTATCTTTTCTTCCTCCTACTTTATTTGGCTTTTTTTTTTTTTTTTTTTGACGGAGTCTCACTCTGTTGCCCAGGCTGGAGTGTCATGGCACAATCTTGGCTCACTGCAACCTCCACCTCCCGGGTTCAGTTGATTCTCGTGCCTCAGCCTCCTGAGTGGCTGGGACCACAGGGGCACACCACCACGCCAGGCTAATTTTTGTTTTTTTTTTTTCAGCAGAGGCAGGTTTTGCCACATTGGCCAGGTTGGTCTCCCACTCCTGACCTCAGGCGATCTGCCCGCCTCAGCCTCCCAAAGTGCTGAGATTACAGGCGTGAGACACCGCGCCCAGCCCTATTTGGCTTTAATTTGGCCATTTCTTTTTAAATTTATTTTCTGCTGGTGTGTGTGACAGGCTCTCGCTCTGCCGTCCAGGCTGGAGTGCAGTGGCGCAGTCATCTCTCACCGTAACCTTGAATTCCTGGGATCCAGGGATCCTCCTGCCTCAGCCTCCCAATGTGATGAGATGACAGGCAGGGGCCACTGCGCCTGGCTCTCTAATTTCTTGAGATGAATGTTGAGCTCACTGGTTTTCAGCCTTTCTTCTTTTCTAAAATATTTATCTAAAGCTGTAATTATTCTTGGAAGGACAGCTTTAGATTCATTCCTGAAGTTTCTAAAGTAGTATTGTTGTTATCTTTCCATTCAAAATAGTTGTTAATATCCATTGTGATTTTTTTCTTTGACCCTGTGTTATGTGGCATCTTTTTTCTCAATTTCTAAATAAGTGGCTCTTTATTTGGACAGATTGGAGCAATTGGTCTCTATCAGACACTACATGGTAAGGTCAGACTTTTTCCTACAAGGATTCTTGCTTTCTTTACGTGAGGATTATGCTTTCTGTACAGCATCTCTAATCTTCATGTGGACCCAGATCTGCTGACTCCAATGAACAACAGCTTTGCGTTGGGGTCAGCCGCTGGTGCCATGGCCTCACGGGAAAGGGAGAGCTGATAGAGATGTGTGTCTCCCCTGAAAGGCCTTCCTTCGTTCTCAGATCTGAGCTGACAGAAGCCACTCTTCTCTGCAGGAGGGTCTGTCCAAGCTGGCCCAGTGTCCTCCGGACTGGCACTCAGGAAGCTCGGGGACAGAGTGCAGCTCCTAAACCTGCTGGTGACACGACTCAGACAGAAGGTGAGGCGCTCGAGTTTGTGGGGTCTTCCTCCCAGGGAGCCGTTGCTGGGGGGTTGGGGGCGGGGCGTGGGCTCTGAGCGACTGCCCGGTGCAATCCCAGGTGACCTCGGGCATCCACTGACCTCTCTGTGCCTGTTTTCTTCTGAGGAAGGGGCCGTAGGGAGGTCCTGGGAACCGGTTCATCTCAGTTGTGCTCGTGGAAGGCTTGCCAGGAGAATCTGGGAAGCACGGTCCAGGCAGTGGAGGCAGTGCTGGCGGCCAGACCACCAGGCCCTGGCTGTGCCCACTCAGAGGGGTCCTGGTCAACGGGGCGTGTGTGTGGGCTGCCTGATGCCACCTGCCCACTCAGAGGAGTCCTGGTCAACAGGGCACGTGTGCTCCATGTCAGTGACGAGCTGCACTTCATCTGAGACACTGGAGCCTTGGCAAACACTGTTCTTTTCAACCTCCTGGGCCCTTGCCTTTTGGGGGTCGGGTCATACTCCTGCTGGGGCCAGTATCTGCATGCATCCAGCAGCGAGCGCACCCTGTTTCCCGTGGGGCTGGGGTCACCGCCTTGGTTTGATTGCTACAGAGTCCTAACATTGTTTTGATTTTTACTTTAAAAAATTGTGTGGCCAGGCATGGGGGCTCATGCCTGTAATCCCTGCACTTGGGGAGGCCGAGTTGGGCAGATCACCTGAGGTCAGGAGTTCGAGACCAGCCTGGCCAACATGGTGAAACCCCGTCTCTATAAAATACAAAAAATTAGCCGGGCATGGTGGCAGGTGCCCGTAGTCCCAGCTACTTGGGAGGCTGAGGTGGGAGAATTGCTTGAACCCAGGAGGCGCAGGTTGCGGTGAGCCGAGATCGCACCATTGTACTCTAGCTTGGGCAACAAGAGTGAAACTCCATCTCAAAAAAATTTTTCTTTTAATTGTAAAATGCATTAATATATAACAAAGTTTACCATTTTGACCATTTTAAAGTGTACCTATCAGTGGCAGTACATTCACGATGTTGTAGAAACATTCTCACTATTACCAGAGCTTTTCTCCCCACCCCAGATAGCAGCTCGGTACCAAGACCACACAGCAGTATCACCCGTTCCCTGCTTCCCAGCCTCTAGTGACCATTCCCTCCCCGTCCCGATCAGTTTGTCTGCTGAAGGGACCTCATACTAACACAGTCACATGGCAGTTGTCCTTTTGTCCTTTTGTCCTTTGTGCCTGGCTCTTTCACTGAGAATGTTCTCAGGGTCAGCTCTGCGTATGTCAGGGCGCCGTTCTTCCCGTGGCTGGCGTATCCTGTTGTACGGATGGATCACACTTCGTGTATCACTCATGCACTCAACATCTGGGTTGCTTCCGCTGTTTGGATTGTGCATGACGCTGCTGTGAGCGTTTCTGTGTGGACTTATGCAAAGTTCAGTTGTCCTGGGTGTACACCTGGGAGTGGAATTGCTCTGTCAGACGGTCACCCTGTGTTTAACCCTCGAGGAGCCGCCGCGCTGTTTTCCCCGACGGTCACCCTGTGTTTACCCCTCGAGGAGCCGCCGCGCTGTTTTCCCCAGCAGCCGCACTATTTTACCTCCACCAGCACTGTGTGAGAGTTCCGGTTCCCCATCCCCACCAACACTAGCTGTTTTCTGGCTGTGATGCTAGTCATCCTGGTGGGAGTGAAGTGGGGCCTCACTGTGGTTTTGATTTGCGTTTTCCTGATGACTCCTGACGTCAAGCAGCATTTCACGTGTGTCTTGGTCGGCATTTGTCTTCTTTGGAGAAATGTCCGTGTAGATCCCTTGCCCAGTTTTAACTGGGTTATCTTTTTATTTGAGTTGTAAGAATTATTTTTATATTCCAGATACAAGTCCCTTATTAGATTTATGATTTGCTACATTTTTTTTCCCATTCTGTGGTTTGTGTTTTCACTTTCTTTTTTTTTTTTTTTGAGACAGAGTCTCACTCTATCACCCAGGCTGGAGTACAGTGACGTGATCTCGGCTCACTGCAACCTCCGCCTCCCGGGTTCAAGCAATTATCCTGCCTCAGCCTTCCAAGTAGCTGGGATTACAGGCGTGAGCCACCATGGCCGGCCAATTTTTGTATTTTTAGTAGAAAGGGGGTTTCACCAGGCTGGTCTCAAACTCCTGACCTCGGGTGATCTTCCCACCTCCGCCTCCCAAAGTCCTGGCATTGCAGGTATAAGCCACTGCACCCGGCCTGTCTTTTCACTTTCTTGATGGTATCCTTTGAAGGACACCGAATGTCTCCAGTTTTGATCCAGTCCCATTGTTCATGTCTCCTGTTGCTTGTGCTTCTGAGTCGTGCTGTCCTCATCCCATTGTCTTTATTCCTTGTGAGGCGACTTAACGAGGGAACTTCCACATGTCCTGTCACATTGTAAATACATAAATCACGCCTTCCCTGCAGCCTCTGCTTCTTCCCTAGTGCAGAACATCTCTCTAGAAACAAAGTATTCGAGGGCCGGGCGCGGTGGCTCAAGCCTGTAATCCCAGCACTTTGGGAGGCCGAGAGGGGCGGATCACGAGGTCAGGAGATCGAGACCATCCTGGCTAACACAGTGAAACCCCGTCTCTACCAAAAAATACAAAAAACTAGCCGGGCGAGGTGGCGGGCGCCTGTAGTCCCAGCTACTCGGGAGGCTGAGGCAGGAGAATGGCGTGAACCCAGGAGGCGGAGCTTGCAGTGAGCTGAGATCTGGCCACTGCACTCCAGCCTGGGCGACAGAGCGAGACTCTGTCTCAAAAAAAAAAAAAAAGAAAATGACAAATATAAATTGTATATCTCTGTGGTGTGTGACATGATGTTCTGAAACATGTCCACACTGTGGAATGGCTGAATGAGGCTAATTAACATGTGCATCACCCTCAGACCTCTCATTTGCTGCTGATGCCTAACGTCTTACCTTGATTGGACGTGCATCTTTGTTGTTGCAGTGAAGAGGAACTTGGCTACTTTTCCATTTCTGTTGAAGATCCGTGTACCCGTGAGGGGCTCCAGTCGGGGGGTGGGTTGAAGATCCGTGTACACGTGAGGGGCTCCAGTTGGGGGAGTTGAAGATCCGTGTACCTGTGAGGGGCTTCAGTGGGGGGGGGGGTTTTGAAGATCCGTGTACTCGTGAGGGGCTCCAGTCGGGGAAGATCCGTGTACACGTGAGGGGCCCCAGTCGAGGCAGTTGAAGATCCGTGTACACATGAGGGGCTCCAGTCGAGGAAGATCCGTGTACCCGTGAGGGGCCCCAGTCGAGGCGGTTGAAGATCCGTGTACCCATGACGGGGCTCCAGATCCCCGACACTTTGCAGTTGCTGTTTCCCCCATTTCCCACACAAATCCTACAGACAAGAAATAAACATTTAAAAAGCTTTTAGGCTGGGCACGGTGGTACACACCTGGAGTCGCAACACTTTGGGAGGCTGAGACGGGAACATCACGTGAGCCCAGGAGTTTGAGAACAGCCTGGGTAACATAGGGAGACCTTGTCCCTACAAAAACTAAACAAGACTGGGCACGGTGGCTCATGCCTGTAATCCCCACACTTTGGGAGGGTGAGGTGGGAGGATTATTTGAGCTCGGTAGTTTGAAACCAGCCTGGGCAACACAGCAAGACCCCATCTGTACTAAAAACTGAAATAATTAGCCAAGAATGGTGGTGCGTCTGTAATCGCAGCTACTCAGGAGGCTGAGGATTGCTTGAGCCCAGATGGTCGAGGCTGCAGTGAGCCACGATCGCGCCACTGCGCCCCAGCCTGGGCAACAGAGCAAGACCCTGTCTCTAAAAATAAAAGCAGGCTGGATGTGGTGACTCACAGGTGTAATCCCAACACTCTGGGAGGCTGAGGCAGAAGATCGCTTGAGTCCAGGAGTTTGAGACCAGCCGAGGCAACAAAGTAAGATGCCATCTAAATAAAATAAGTAAATAAATACAAATAAATACAAGCTTTTAATTTTACCTTGGTTAATCATAGATGATTTGATCATCCTGGGGAAAATGTTCACCTTGAAGTAATATTGTTTGGTTGGGTTTTTACTTAGCAGTGTCTGTAAATTAAATAATAACCTTTATTTGTGTGTAGGTAGCAAATTCAAAAATGAAATATTCATAAGGAATTCACCGTAGGAGTCCCTGGCATAGGGAAAGTAATATTTTATGTTACTGGGAATGAGGTGGGAAGGCTCTGGTGCGGGGAGGCATTTGTCTTTCTCACCTGCACTGCTCTTCTTCCTTCCTCTTGCCGGGAGTGGTGCGGTCAGTGAGAGGCAGCCAGAGCTAGAGGCCAGCCCAGGGCCCGCAGGGTGGGTCTCATGGCCAGCCTGTTGCCTCCCAGAGATACTCTGTGACCTGCGACTTCCCTCTCCCAGCCCCCCATTCACGGGCCTCCAGTTGGCCTCCACCTGCCTTTCTTTTTTTTTTTTTTGAGACGGAGTCTTGCTGTGTCGTCCAGGCTGGAGTGCAGTGGTGCGATCTTGGTTCACTGCAAGCTCCGCCTCCCGGGTTCACGGTATTCTCCTGCCTCAACCTCCCGAGTAGCTGGGACTACAGGCGCCTGCCACCACGCCCGGCTAATTTTTTGTATTTTTTAGTAGAGATGGGGTTTCACTGTGTTAGCCAGGATGGTCTCAATCTTCTGACCTCGTGATCTGCCCGCCGTGGCCTCCCAAAGTGCTGGGATTACAAGCCTGAGCCTCCGCACCCGGCCTATCCACCTACCTTTCAATAGCCTCAGCCCTCTGACCTCCTGGCCTGCCTCCCTCTGGCCTCCGCATTTCTGCCCCCTTTGATTAGCAGAAGAGAAAAATCTACACCTCCTACTGGTTACTTGCAATTCTGGAGGCTTTTGTTTCTCCCTGGAAGGAGGGCTCAGGAAGGGGTTTCGAGGCGCTCTGCCTCTGTCCATGCACGGATTCTCCCCACCAGCCTGGGAGTCCAGAGCAGGGTACCGGGAGCCACCGGGGCGGCCAGCTGGGTGGGGCAGGAGGAGCAGCGGCTGTGGTGGGGGGCGGAGGGCGGAGGGCAGTTGCATCCAGCTGGGGAGGAGGCCCTGGTCTCCGGCTCCCCTGCTCTTTCCCCGCACTCACAGCGCTTCCCGGCAGTGCCCCAGGGGCCTGCTCCAGCCCAGCCGCTGCCTTGACTCCTTACACTGCCTTCGAAATGGCTCCTAGGTGCTGCGGGAACCCCTGGAGCCGGCCGCTTTCCAGCGTGAGCTTCCCCGTGAGGTGGACCAGGTACACCTGGAGGTTTTGGAGCTGCGGAAACAGGTGGCTGAGCTGGGGAAGCATCTCAGGATAGCCCACCACGGGGGAGCAGAGCCTTCAGTCCAGAAGCAGCCCCCAGCCTCGGACGCCGTGACCCTAGGGAGAGAGGTGGGTGCCCACCAGCTCCTCCTGCCACCCGCCTGTCGAGGCTCCTGCCACAGAAACTGCCCTTGCCTGTGCTCTGCCAGCGTTGCTGCCTGTATGCCCTGGGAGCTCAGGTGGGACGAGAGCTGCAGTGAAGGCTGTGCCTGGAAGTGGGCCCTGCTCCACCCTTCTCCCCCTTCTTCCTCCGCCTTCTTCCTCCCCTTCTTCCTCCCCCTTCTTCCTCAGCCTTCTTCCTCCCCTTTCTTCCTCCCCCTTCTTCCTC